GGTAGAAAAGCGATTGTGCATCAAGTGGCGAGGCTCTAGGAAAGTGGATTATTATCTCAACATGGAGCCGCTTCGCAGTTGTTACGAACCAGCTTTCAGTTACCCTTATGTACGGCAAGAATTATATCAGTTTAGTTCAGGTTTACAAACAATGACGATGCATTTTCATGCGCCGTTTTCGGCTTCCATTTGGATAAAAGAGCAGAATAAAGATTGGAATGTTGAGGGCAGAGTAAAATAGAAGATAGAGAATTGACATGAACTAAGATTGAAAAGATAATGAGTAGATGCACGAGCGCCACTGTTTGCAACATTCGGCCATGTCACTCAATGTATCTAACCACCGGTTACGATGATACCAGAGTAACCATCCAAGAAACCAAACGCGGCCTAATGCCAAGTCTTAGTCTGATTGCCCTTGACCTTTTTTCATCCGCTGCCTGCGTCGGCAAGCATTGCGCACTCTGGCAACCTAGTTGGTGACATGCACAACACGTTTCAACTACTGTAATCTATGGAGGTCGACCACCTGCTCCGGTGGATGACCGAGGCTACCTAAAAATTTGTGCCTAACTTCAGCAATGCTTATCCGGTTCCCCATTAGACTCGTGCAATGTGACGTGGGCAACGGTGTTCGAATACCGACAAACTATTTTTTTCCTGTTCCCGTAATGGTCAAGTCTGCATCCTAGAGCAGGACTGGGCTAACTGCTACCGCATACATCCGACCCTTCAAGGACACACGGATGGACATAAGGTGAAAAACAATGGAGACGGGAAATAGAACCGTCATGCATTTGCCATGATATCCAGTATCGATCTGGTGGACAAAAGATGGCTATGAGCATATTCTACCGAAACCAATAAATTTTATCTATGTCACACAAATCTGAAACGGATGCACAATGCTCTATCACCCCGATGTCACACCCTTGTTGAACATCATTCGTTCCCCAAATCTACCCTTCTTCTCATAAACAATATTAAAACGGTTTTAAGGAGCATAACACATGCGCACAACTTAAACACCACTTGTTTAATTGTTCTTCTGAGCAACTAGGGGGTTTGAAAGAATCAAGACAGGTCCAATTCCATCTACTTCTTTCAAAAGGTTAGTCTTGATCACGATAAATGAACACGGCCGTGTTTAATCTCATGAACTGCCTGACTGTGGCACAGCCTTCAATTTGGATGAACTGGAAAGCTTCCTTCATAATAGGGTGGCGACAACCCCCCGAAAAAATCATACAATTCGCGAGTACCCATAGCGGGATTAAACGGAACATTGTTAGCAGTCTACATACTGATACTTTATATTATATATATACATATATTTGACACAATAACCTTGTTTACATCACCGGGTGACATTTGGATAGACAACTTTTTCAGAGCCAGTCCATTGAAGAATCAATGCTATGATTCAATGTTTTTGTAAGTGGGTTAGATGCTACTAACCACGACAAACGTGACTTGATAGTCTTTATAGAATCTTTCATAATAAGTAGTATGTGAATGATTGGATATATATATATAACACGTTTGAGTTCCGAGTGTACCAAACAAATAGCAGTACAATAATCTTTATAGAGAGAAAAACGTTTCACGATTTGCATGTGGGCCAAGGCAGGTGGATTTTCTTGGGGAATCCACAACCGGAGCCTTCGGCTAGCAAAAACCCAATCCACAATGCAGCGGTGCAGTGTGTGAAAACCGCAGTCAATTGGGAGCCGGTGTCCGGTTCATGACATCATACTCCTTTCGGACAGCGTCCAACTTCAAATGTGCTCAATACACCTCGATGCCCAATCGAGCCGGTGACTATTGACACAAACGGGTAGGTGTGGGTGTGGTTTCTTCGCCTTCTATTAGTTGGTTTGGAATCAGGGTATTTGGCCAACTCCCCTAGGGGAATTGCTAATGGTCCACCAACCCGGTTATAACTCCGGATGTCGGTTATTCGTTCTCTCACTTTGGTGGGAAAACACCTCCGCAAGGAAAAGACAGCGAGTAGGGCTTTCTCAGCAGAGTCTACTTGAGACGCTTAGTCGTATGGGAGCATTTCGCGAGGTGCAAGGTAAGGGTGATCAGCCGCAACCCTAGACTTCCACCCCCGACCATACTGAGGATTTCGGAGGCTGGTACAGAAAACCCAGCGGTTATGTACCAGCGAATGGGACTGTGTGCTTTCGGACAATTTGCATTCAATCCCTTCCATGCCATCCACTATAACTGTAAAACACCTCAAGAAATTTTCTAAATTCAATGGTACTTCGTCTCTTATATGATAACATGCCAGAATGCTCAAGATCACAGAGGCGATTGCAGTCAGCCGATGAAAACCAACTTTGTGTTAACAGAAACACTTGTTTATCACAATGGCTTTGCTTTGGTAACCCTTCCCCTATTCACGCTGGCTAATTGCGTAATCCATGCCCAAACCCTAAATAAACAATATGATCATCTGCAGTCGTGATGCAGCGAAATTTGTCAGGGTCACTATACTGGCTCCTACGTGATTGCTGATTCTGAGGTCAGTCTTCCTGAAAAGAAAGAATGGATCGGTGCTCAAAAGGCGAGTCTTTCACATTCATGTGCGTCTTCCGAATGGAGAAAAGAAAAATGCACCTCTCAGACAACTTGCTCTGAAGGTATCTAACCCAAAAACTATTCACCAATACACAACCGTTCAACATGTGAGCCTTACCGACAAACTACTCACACATTCAGTTTTCGCATCGGGAATTCAACCTAAAAAAATCCGAAAAAACCGAAGCATAGAGTGAAAATCGAAATAGACCAATAATGTACATTCCCACACAACTTTTGAAGTAGAGAAATATGAAAATGCTCAGT